CCCGGGCCGAGCTGCGCGTGCCCTGGGGCTCCCCGCCACCCACCTCCATCCGGCCTCACAACCCCCTCCCCCACCACCCGGTCGTACGGCGCATGCCCTCGAGCTCCCTTCTCTCCTCCTCCCTCGTCTCCCGCCCCCGACGTTCCCTCCAGGTCTGAGAGCGCAGTGGGCCTAGGAGCCCAGAAGACCTGGGTTCGAGTGCGGCGCTGAGCCTCTGGCCGACCATCAACGGCAGATAATACCCCCAAAAAATGTTTGAGTTCCCCCTATAATTGGGTAACTAGGTGGTGCAGTGGATAGAGCGCTGAGCTTGGAATCAGGAACACTCATAAATCTGGACTTAAACACTTACCAGCTGTGTGACCCTGGGCAAGTCACTTCACCCCGCCTGCCTCAGTTTCCTCATCTGTAAAAGGGGCTGGAGAAGGAAATGGCACATGGAGAAGGAAATGGCAAATCGCTTTTTTTTGGTCTTTTGTGAACTACAATTGTGCCATTTCCTTCTCCAGCCCCTTTTATAGATGAGGAAAGTGAGGCAGGCAGGGTGAAGTGACTCGTCCAAGTATTCCTTCAGTCAGGAGGCGGTAGCTGAGGTCGGCCTCCAGGTGGGCAGAACGAAAAGCGTCTATCTTCCTGCTCCTAGCTGCCTGCCTCTCAGCCGCTGTCAAAGCTAATTTCTGTTAACGGACTACGTGATGCTGGGGGAGAACCCACCAGAATGGGCTGGAGGGTAGAGCGTGGAAAAGGAGCCCCGACCCCTCGGGGACGCCCCTAGGATTCTGGGGGATATGGTCCTGTTCTGCAGCCGGAGATGCCCAGAATTTGGGTGGGGGGGAGTGGGAAGCACAAGCCTTCATCTCTTCCCAGCGTCTGAAAGTCTCCAGGGTTTCGGGTGGCAGTCTGCTCCTTGCCCGGGTCCTCCCGGGATCACCCATCACGGTGGGTACTCCCCCAGGCCAGCACCTCCTTCACTTCCTCCTGCCCCTTTCCAGTGGGGACCGATGGGAAACACTGGCCGTCCCACCGGGCTCCCTCCCCTTCACCGGTGACCAGACCATTTTCAGTGTCACCCATCTCTTTCTCTGATGATGTTTTATTCCCATTTTCCATCCATTTACCTCCTCATTGCTCTCTGTGTTATATTCATTGTCGTGTATTCGGAAGCTGTTGTGTTCCATGTCTCATAACCGGCCCCTCTCACCTTCCCAGACCTCTTATACCCTTGTCCCCTCTGCACATACTCTGGCCCAAGTACTCTGGCCTGGGGCAGAAACGCCTGCCCTTCATCCCCGTGCCTGGAAGGCTCTGCCCCGTCCCCTTCAAGTCCCGGAATGAAATGCTTCATTTCTCTGCAGGCTGCTCTCCTGACTCTCCAGACTTTTTCTGCAATATCCCAGAAACCTCCTCACCCTAGAAGTACTCCTAGCCTTCACCCCTGGGACTTTACACACTGAAGAAACCTCTGCCCCTTCGATTTCTTCTGATTCCCAGAAATTCCATTTGCAAGGAGGAGGCCCAGGTCACCCCCTGCTTCATTCCTCTCCAGGCTGCACTTCAGACTCTCCTAGACATTTTCGACAATGGCCTTGCATGGAGTACCTTCTTTGTATTATCTTCCCCCATTAGAAGGTAAGCTCCTTGAGGGCAGGGACTGTTTCTTTCATTTACTTGTACTCCTGAGCTTAGCATTTGTTGATTTGACCTGCAGAAGTCCTTTTCCAGTCCCATCAGCTGGTAATGTCTCCCTTTCAGACTCCATCTACTCCATAAATATCCAAGTTACTCACGTGTTGTCTCCATGGTTAGTCTGTACACTTCTTGAGAGCAGGGAACATTTTCCACCTTTCCCTGTATGTATGATGGCACTCAGTACAGTGCCTGACCCATACAAGCATTAAATGCTTCAAGACTGACAAAATCACGTGATAACATCCATAAAATACAGGTATTAAACACTGGCTTTTGTTTCTCAGAGAATTTTGGGGTCAATATATACTTCCTGAAGGCAATCGAGCCCACTTTCTTCCTCCGATTGAAATCTGGGCCCTCCCCATCCATCTGTGCCATCTGTCTCAGATATACGTAGCAATGGACATTTGTCCATCACCCAAACTACACCATCATTATTGTCAACAGAGTCCGTCTTCCCTGTGTGGGTGGTCAGGCTAAACTCCAGGATGCCTTGCAATGTTCCAGATGTAAAGAATGCAAGATACCACTGTGCTAACTGTTTGTGGATTATGAAAAAAGCTTCAGGGGAGCAAAATTCCACCTTGAAAGCTGTCTTCCAGCAAGATCCTTCACTCATAAATCAAAATCATTTAAGATGCTTTGAAAGATTTAAGAGAGAGAACCTTGTTCCTCAGCCCTCTGAACGTCTACATCAGGTGCAACATACAGCTGGGTGGCCACCACAGTGATGGAGGAGACCCATCGTGGAGACCTAGTTGATGAGGGAGTCACGGTAAGATGTTCAGGATGCTTCTGTCTGGTGCTTAACTAGTAATCATTACGGCCTCTGGTTGCACCAACTCCTGTGCTATCAGGAATGTACCAGGTATCCATCTGAATGTAGATCAAGTGAGAGGTATAATCACTGTCCTCAAGGAGCTTACAATCTAGCAACACAAATATAGACATCAACTACAAAGATTTTTAGTAATCCCTTTCCCGTAAAAGAAACAGAAAAGTCCTAGCTGTCTGGAAAATTACAGAGTAGAAAGCACTGTCTCTAGAGTTAGAAGACCCGGGTCTAGAGATCCTGATATGCATTTGCTGTGTGACTTTGGGAAGTCACTTTATCTCCCTGGGCCCCCGTGTCTTCATCTGTAAAATGAGGGGGTTGGGACTAGATGACATTGGAGGTCTTCCATCTCTTCATCAAGGGTTCTTAGCTTTGTGTCTGTGTGTGTCATGGACACTTTTGGTAGTCTGGTGAAGCCCTTGGACCCCACCTCAAAATAATGTTTTTAAATGCATAAAATAAAATACAAGTACAAAGGAAACCAACTGCATTGGAATACAGTTATCAAAATACGTATTTTTTAAAAGTTCACAGACCCCGAGGTAAGAACCCATGTTCTGGATCTATGAGCTCTTAAGTCAAAGACAGCAGTTTTTTTTTCCTTTAAAAGTTTTTTATACTATGTTCCCCACTACAGTGCCAGACATGGAACTCCTCCTTGTCAAAGACCCCTCCTCACTTTTGCCTTGTGGAATCCCTGTCTTCTTTGTAAGCACAGTCAGGTACTACTTCCGACGTGAAATCTTCCCAAGACCATTCTGGTTAATCTCACTGGCCCTCTTCAAAGGACTTTGGAAGCCTTGATTGCTAGGATAGAAACGATGGGGACCTTGAGGGGCAATGACTTAGAATTTGTGACAGAGGAGAGGATATCTGGGGATAGTCTGACAGGCCCCCAATATTTGGGGAAAGTAGATTTCAAAGGCTTACAAGGAAGATAAGCAGGAGGATCCCATTGCTTCAAGGATGGTCAGCCCAGGAAGAATGGGAGATTTTCAACAATGAAATTCTGAAGATGCAAAGGGAAACAATTCCAATGAGAAAAAAAAAAAAAAGGTGTTTTTCTGAAGAGAGACATGTAGATGCTCGCAGCTAGGGGGCGCAATAGATGAACCACTGGACCTCCAGGCAGCAAAACCCAAGTTCAAATTTAGCTTCAGACACTTAATAGCTCTGTGATCCTGGGCAAGTCACTTACCCACTCTCTGCCTCAGTTCCTTCATATGTAAAATGAGGATAATAACAGCACCCATCTCCCAGAGTTCTTATAAGGATCAAATGAAATAATATTTGTAAAGTGGTTAGCAAATCTTAAAGCATTATCATTTTTATATAAGGCTATTATTATTATTATTATCAGTATTATTATTATTGTCATTATTTCAAAAAGAAATGTATAAACAATTGAGTCAAGTCCAGGTAACATCAGAGGACTACAAGATCATGGACAATCCGGTCTGAAGATGTGGTTCCCCAGGGCAGCCAGGTGCTATCATACTGACTTCCTCACTCAGCTCGGCCACCACACCCTATTAGTCATTTCTGATTCAGCACTTCCTTTAAAGGTCATTCTCCTTCGCAGAGGAAAAAAAAAAAAAAAAACATGGAGCAGTTCTGCCTTCTCTCTATTGTCCCTTGTCACGATCCCATGCACCCCAGCAATAGTCCTCTGCATTTTTAAATCTTCCTTTTCCTCCCAATGTACTTAAAAAACAAATCCACAAATCCATGTTGCCTTCTTCAGCCTTAGATTGGATTGTCGAGAACATAGGAAAAATCATGGAAAATGGGAGAGGGACCATCATGCGAGAAAAGGGCAAATGGAGACCTGATTTTTTCAAAAAGACAAGAGAACAGTGTGCAAAAAAATAGG